TAAATATATATTATATATTGTATTCGTTATGTTACTTGTATATATTATATGCATATACATGTATATGTATGTATTTTCTTTTCTTACAGCTTTGATTGGGGTCTCTCCAGTACTTTGTTAAATAAAAGTATTAGTCATTCTTTTCTTGTTCCCAATATTAAATGAAATGCACCTAGAGTTTCTCCAATAACCATTATATTGGGTATAGATTTGCAGTATATGCTTCCCACCAAATTAATGATCTCTTCTATTTTTTCTTTTAAAATAAAAAAAAACACTACATATAGGGATTGAATTTAATGACGTATTTTTGTCATATTACCTTGCTTTAATCTGTTAATTTGATGAATTTTACCAATGAATTTTCTACTTTTGAATTATTCTTGCAGTCCTCATATAACTTTACTTGGTCATGATATTTTTAACATATTTTTGAAATTGGTGAGTTAATATTTTGTTAGGATTCTTGCAATTCATTTATGAAGTGGCCTTATGTATTATTTACTATTATTCTTATGTCTTTTATGAGTCAATCAAGGAATTATATCCACTCCTCACATTACATTTCAGGAATGAAACAGCATTGGGAGGACGCAGTCAAGCTAATTTGAATTATACAACAGTAGGGAGTAAGAAGGTGTGACTATAGGTGACTATAAGAGCACTGGAGAGTGCTATCACGCATGACCTTATTATCATCAGTCCTTCACACAGGGTGGTTCTTTTTTTTTTTTTTTTTTTTTCTCTTTTTCTTATTTTGAGGCGGAGTCTCGCTAAGTCGCCCAGGCTGGAGTGCGGTGGCGCGATTTCGGCTCACTGCAAGCTCTGCCTCCCGGGTTCACACCATTCTTCTGCCTCAGCCCCCCGAGTAGCTGGGACTACAGGCGCCCGCCAGCATTCCTGGATAATTTTTTTTGTATTTTTAGTAGAGATACTCTTGGATAATTTTTTTGTATTTTTAGTAGAGATGGGGTTTCACCGTGTTGGCCAGGATGGTATCGATCTCCTGACCTCGTGATCCGCCCGACTCGGCCTCCCAAAGTCCTGGGATTACAGGCCTGAGCCACCGTGCCCGGGCCCCACATAGAACGGTTCTTACAGCTCAGTGATACTACTTTGCTGACACATCGCACTAGAGCAAGCGTTTTTCTGTTGTTGCAGAATTTTGCAAATAAAGAGGAATCAATGATTGTTTTGAGGCAAGAGTGGGAACTAACAGGCATTACTTTAGACCAACCACTCATGTTGGATGCAGCACTCCCCTCCCCTTCACATTCAGTATACACAACACACACACACACACATACACACACACAGGCACACCCATATACACGTTCTAGAAGTCATGAGAGACTTTATTCTCCTCAGATTTTCTCACTATCTTTTCAGTATTTTCTTGGAATCCCTGTTTCCCTCTTGCTTCTATAATTCTTTCAGAGTTAATTTTGGGGTGACAGTAAGAAACTTGCCGACTTTGATATTCTGCCTGGAATAGAAGCCAAAGGCTTGCTTTATAAATGAACCTTTTGATTAATTCTTCTCTTATCAACTAAGCAAATTTGTCCTACTTTCCAATTTGCAAGTCCTTATTTCTACAAAATGGGCTGCTAAGATGAGATATGCCTATAGAATTTTTGTAGATATATGTTTTCAGTCAATATGCAGTGATATCAGGTCATTTGAGACAATATATAACACTCCCTTTTCCAAGGGAGTGTTTCAAACATACCAGTGGTCCTAACATCAGTGTGAAGAAGGCACAGTATGTTACAGTTTAATTGTATTATATATATTTATGCTTCAGAAAGGCACGATTTGCTCTGTTGTAGATCTGGAATTAGTAGCAAACCATCACTATTTGAAATCATAAATCTTTGAAATCTGGGGATTTGGTTTTTCTCTAATCACACTTGAGACGAATTATTAATGTCTTTGAAAAAGGAAAACCAGAACAGAACAGAAAACCATATAAAAGGTGGGACTCAGTGACTTACACAAAGTGCAAAATAACTCTTTCAAGGGAAATGAATTAAGAGAAATCTAATGTTTATTTCCAAGAAATAGCAGAAAAAACTGTATAACTAATACATTTAGAAATTGCTTCATGCAAGTGAATGACAGGAGAGGCAATTTAAAAAAAAATCTTTCTAGTACCTTCTATGTGACGCTACTAAATGGAATTGCAAACAAATAATTTTCCACTTGCACCAGCTATTTACAGTAGTCCCTGGGGAGGATAGGTGCGGATGGAGTGAAATATTACTGTGACCCTCTATCACCATTATTGGTCTTACCGCTGATGATATATCTTTATCATATTTACCTCATTCGAATTGTTTACTCCCTGAGCCCTGAATTGTGCTAGATTCTTCCCCATCTCTCTCCATAAAGCATTAGAATGGATCACTGTAAAAGGAAATAAAATCTTATTCTCCTGTTTTGCACACAAGAGAAAATTCAACCAGCTCCCACTCTGGGTACTTCAGTGACAAGCTCCCATATTGATATACCAGGACTCTGAGGGCAAGAACCAAGTGTTGTTCACTTGATCATGTGCACCAATATTGTAACATGTTATCCTGAATAAAGTGTACAGAACTTGATAAGTGTCTCCTTAAGGAAAGAAGAATACCTAATTGTCTTTGACTCACAAATGAAAATAAGGATCTGTTTTTCCTCTTTCGCTCTCAAATTCTGAAGGAGGCCCACTAGAGGGCCCACCCCTAAATACAGCACACTAAGAGTTAGAGCATCCACATATTAATTTAGAGGTGGAAGCGGGGCCAGATTAAGTCATTTTTGAGTGAGTTTCAAGATCTGTAACACTAGTAGCTTGAAATGTTCTGGAGTTCCAGATCTGCATTCTAGCACTATCATTTTTCATGGATTCCTTTTTTTTTTTTTTTTTTTTTTTCAGGCTTCAAGTGTATTTATTGATGCATTGGACAAAGTAAAACCGCAATTGTTATCAAAAAGTATATCTCTCTTTCTGTCATTTTCTTGTTCTTACATTGGAAATATCTTTGAAAAAGTGATACAAATGGATACCAGCGAAGTCCCATATTTGTGGGGTGATCGTGCAGCAGTGCTGGGATGGGATGGTTTGTGACATTGACTTTAATAGCATGAAAATGGGTTTTGCAATTGTGTATCAGGCTGCATCCCAATACTTAGATTCACAGTGGGTGGGGTGCGAGAGTGCTGGTTAGCAGAAAGGAAAGCTGAATTTAGTGCTGGGGACCAGTTTGGGGTGGAAAGTTCTTCCTTTGGGAGTTCTGTGGGGATTTGGTGTTAGCTGAGTTCACAGTCTAAGGGAGACCAACTCCCAGTCCTCAAGAGCTGAGGTTCAGGAGGAATCAGTGAATAATTAAGAAGGAAGAGCTTTTGTAGGATGAGTCACTACTTCTATTAACACTCAGTCCAAAACAGAAGGCTAAGGATCTACCATGTATTATTTGTTCTGCTTTCTTGTTTTTAAACTTAACATTGAAGCATAAGCTTTTTCTCTGAGGTTACAAAACCACCATAAATATAGAGTGGTTTTTATGTCTAATATACTGCCATAAGAGGATGTACTCTCATTTACCTAGACATTATAGCTCCCTATTACTAAGCATGTAATTAATTTACAATGTTTTACCTCTTATAAATGATAACATGATAAAAATTTTATGCTTAAAACTTTTCCAATATAGTTTATAATTTCAGTAGGATTCCAAGAAGTTGAATTAGTGAGACAAAGAATGTGAACATATTAAGGATATTAATACAGATAGGGTTAGTAATCCCTTAAAAGTGATAATCAAATTATTACCTTTTTGGTTTAAGTTCCAGAGGAAAAAATGTTGCCTTTTTAAATTTGAGGCATGGTACTAAAGATAAAGTTTTGAGAGGAAAGGGGTTAGGATGCTAGCTGCACAGGTAAAGTTGAAGAGAGTAGTTTAAAAGTATGCATGAAAAGCCTACACTTAGAGGACTTTCTAGGGTTCGAAGAACGGCAAGTATATGAGCCAGATCCCTGATGGAAAAGAACTGGCACAGGCTAACTTGTAATTTGAAGAGATGTTAATAAGAGTATATTTATAAAAGTGTAGACAGCACTTAAGGAAATCAGCAAGGGCTAATGCAGTAGTATCCCTGTAATAATCACAGTTGGAAGCTACTGAATTGTCACTGTGAAGAATCCACTCCTAGAACCTAAAGAGAGCAGTTACACAGAGAAGACTGCAGAGCTGCAGAAGAAGGAGGTAGAAAGTCCTTAGCATTTACAGGCATGCTTCAAGGGCTTCAGTAGGGAATTTGGGTTTGTTCTTTATAGTCCCAGTTGGAGGCATACTTCGAAAGCTGAATCCACTGTCATTCTGCTCACTCCATGTGACAAGTCTTCTGCTACATTAGTAATGAATTTAGGATAATGGAAGTCATTACATTTCTCCCACCCTCATGTTACTCAGCAATTCATGTACTAATCATTTTAATGCAGATCCCTGTTCCACCGGTTTTGTTTTCCCAGCAATGACATTATTCCCAGTGCTGTTGTTCCTGGTTGCTGGGCTGCTTCCATCCTTCCCAGCAAATGAAGACAAGGTATGGTTAAAGTCAAAAATCTTCAGAAAAATCCAGGCAACCATGAGGGATAGCAAGCTACTAGATCAATCTTCAAAAGTGAAAAGGACTAGAGTGTCTGGTACATCATAAAGTACTCATTAGTAGCTCAAGATAGTTAACATAATTATGTTTAAAGCTGTGGTGATCGATATGGTAGCCCCTAGCCACATGAAGGTATTGAAGTTCATTAATTAAATGACTTTGCTCCACCCCACAAATTGCCTTGGAGACTTTTTTTAATGTGGTAAAACTATCTTTTGAGTGATCCCATAAAATTTGCTACCTAATACATAAAACTCTTTTACTAGAGTATTGCATGTTACACATGCACTTAGACTGAGCCTAAGCATTTTTTTCTAAATACCAGACACCATTTCAGGCAGAAATTCCCCCTAAAGTCTTAGGGTAAATCATATAGCCCAATCCTTACCACTTCTTTGCTGCAGCCTGAGTGTGAATGTCTTAATAATTCCTATCATGTACCCTTGTCACTACAAGATGTTGTCACTCATATATCTAGAAAAATCACATTAAGACCTCTCTTAACCCAGAAATTGGTGTTTGTGGCCTCAGAGCAGATTTTAGTTTGTCATGCCATGAATTATATCCCCAATCTGAAAACTTTGATATAATACTTTTCCATTAAAAAGTCATAGCTTTGGCTGTCATTGACAGTGTTTACCTAGTATTGGCTCAAACACTTTTTTAAAATGGTCCTTGTTCCCTCAAGCTAACATAGTTACTACTATGCGCAATTTCCAACAATGTTAAAAAATAATTGTAATTTTATTTTCCCTTAGGATCCCGCTTTTACTGCTTTGTTAACCAACCAAACACAAGTGCAAAGGGAGATTGTAAATAAACACAATGAACTGAGGAGAGCAGTCTCTCCACCTGCCAGCAACATGCTAAAGATGGTAAGAGGTGGTATATTGCAAAGGAGAGGGGTGTGAACAAGCTGTGGAAGGAGCAGGCGGCTGGCAACGAAAATCTCTTAATAACTTCAAGGTTTACAAAGTTCTGTCTCTATTTTGTTATTTCATTTGAGCTGTGTAATGGGCAGAGCTGAATTTCTTAACTTCTCTTTATAATGGTTGCATAATGTCAAATTCATAGGGCTATTTAAATTATGGAAGCAGAATCAAAACCAAATCTTTGGACATACAGTGAAAAGCCATTATGCTTTTCTGCTCCTTATCTTATCTGTCCTAATCTAAGATCAGAAAGATCTTTTTCGTTTAAGATAAACGCCGTTTAGGGTAAATAACAATCTACTTTTCTGGGCCTTGTACCAAAGGCCACATGTCTCCCAAACATATTTAGTGAAGGGGTGGGGGGGAAAAAGAACTGGAAGTGAAGTAAGCCAGCTAATTACTTCATTGTCAGCAAAAGCAATCTCAACACCTCCACATGTTTACCAATATTTAGAGTAGGATCATTACTAAAAATCTTTATGTTTCTGTTGTCCTGTCATAAATAATTAGGCTATAAACCTAGATTTTTTTGATTACTTAGGGTAGGCATATTACCTATATTTCTTTGTGGAGCAGAAAAAGGCACATCAAAAAAATATATATTTGATTACTATACAAATCAGAAGATGCTTGCACAGAAATTTTATGATGATGTAAATCAACCTATAACCTGATTATAAGGCTTATGCTCCTGTGAGGTTTGAGATATTAAGTGGATATCTTTTTTCTGTCCTTGTTTCAGGAATGGAACAAAGAGGCTGCAGCAAATGCCCAAAAGTGGGCAAACCAGTGCAATTACAGACACAGTAACCCAAGGGATCGAAAGAGCAGTATGTAAATTAGGAAATATTTGTTGAATAAATCAACAAGTAAAATAATAAGAAACCATGTTATAATGTTGCATTAAGAAAAGTTTGTAAATAAATATTGCTTCTAATACTACCTTTTTCAAGATAGAATATCTCTATATGTAGAGATAACTCTGAGAAGCACCATCTGAGCTTATGGTTTTACGTAAATTTTACAAAAACTGTCTCAGGCAGTATCACATTTGTACCTCTCAATCAGCTCATGAGTAAAGCAGGTTACAGATCATCTCTTTCCCAATTACAGAGATTAGAAAACCAAGTCTGGAAGAAAATGATGATTGGTAATTAATGTCATATATAGGAAATCTGGAATTAGAATTTCTGGCTTCTAAATCAGTATCCTTTTTAGTGATAATATAGAGCCTATTTGTGTTTTGAAACCTACTTAATTTTGTTTTTATAAAATATTTTAAATTTTGTCAAACTGTTCCTGAATTTTACAAAAAAAAGATATTTAACACCAGTATTAGCTTTTACTATTTTCTTTTGAATTTTTGATGATGGTAAGCCATGTCTTTCGTATTTGCTGGATGTTTACAATGCATACTATATTAGACTAAATAAAAATGACCTGCAAGACATAGCCTATGCATCAATAAATATAAAAACAACTAGATAAAATATCATATGGATGAGCTATCAGATAAAATACTTATTGAATTATCAAAAACAACATAGGTAAAGGCAAGCCAAATTTACAAGTGGTAAATAACTGGCTTGTTTTGAAAATAGGACTGCCATTGTTATCTATATTTTTGATATTAAAACTATAATAAATTTATGAAAGGAGGTAACTATGATCACCAGAAGATTGAAAGAAATGGTCTTGAAAATCCCAACCTATTGTTAAAATCTTAGCTTCTTTCTTTCCCTCTTAAAGGAACTATACAAAGGTAGTTTATACTCTATTTAAGTAGCATGTAGACATTCCATATTAAGCCATCCAAATATAAATATTAATTTCAGGGCTTGAAAAAGCATTGAAGTATTTCTGGGCTGCAAGGCACTTTTTTCCTTATTTTTTGAGCAAAGTGTGGCCTGTGATGTTCTGATTTGCTAAGAGGAGGCCTGTAACCTGTGAAAATATTGTCTTTTATGGTGTCATTTTCTTCATGTTTAGGGCTCTTAAAGACTGAGCATAAGACTTTTTTAAAAAATTCACACAAAATAATAATTCTAACCACTTATTCAGATTCCTATATATGAAAATCTCTGGTGAATACGGACTAGAGCAGGAGAGGAATTACTAAATTGATGTCTGCCTTCAGCAAGCTCACATTACAAAGCTGAAAGCTCATAAGGCACACCCATGTGAAGAATTCAATGTGTAAATAAATGAATCCAGGGAGAGCAGATATTAAAGAAAAAAGGCTTCTCCATCTACTCAAAGTTTTGCATGTTGAGACCAACCTCAAGTATTGGGCAAATCTGGCTTCTGTTCAGCTTATAGCTGATAAGGATCTGAGGCACCCTCCTTATGTATTAGTTGATATTCATTAATGATGGGCATTGGGGACAGTATTTAAAAAAACAGGGATTCTGCTGTGTGTGGGGGGCGGGTG